TATGTCTACACATTTTTAACTCCGTTACACGAGCTTTAAACCGATGCAGGGGAACCAAGATGCTCAGTTTCAGTTCTTTTTGCAGAGTGTTCCAAGCTAGAGGAGCTGCGCATATAAAAGCTTTCGTCCCTAAATCAGTCCAAGCACTTGGCACTCTTGGACTGAAGGGGTGTTTCTCAATGTCGAGGACGCTTCCTTGTCTTCCGAGTCAGGTCCATCAGAGCATGGGCGTAGGAAGCATCCTGAATGTGGGGGGGACATTTTTAACAGGGGGTGTGGGGGTCTCCCACCACCACGAAAAAAAAAATAGATTTCCTGTATTCTGGTTCATTTTAACAGGTGGTTTGATAAGGCTATACTAGCATGAGGAAAATGATGGGTACATTTTGTAATTTCATCCAGTAGTAAAGAAAGGAAACATATTTGATTATTAATTCAGAGCAGTCTTTGAATGAATAAAAAGCAGTTTACATTTTTTGTACATTTATATACAACAATAAATATTTGTGAGTGCATTGAGAGATATTGTTGTGGAGAGTCATTTATATATAAATCGCAAAATACATTTGTGAATCCTTCTGTGAGCATTTATTAATATTGAGACTGATCTGACTCCATACAGATGTTAAGTTCACCTAGGAATGGTATCGACTTAAATGTTCAAATAAATGTTGCTCTTCTGTCTATATTGGTCATATGATGCCCCTTGACTGAAATGTTTCCTGTTCAATATCCCCACTGATTTCCTTAACATTCTGGGATGAGAGTCCAAATCACAATTTACTCTAAACTGTCATTTCCCTTTCATCTCTCACCTCAGCAATGAACCTCTCTCCACTGTCCCTGTGTTCTGCCTCTGACTCACTCTCAAGCGCCTAGATGTCAAGAGAGGTGGTGAAGTGATCATTATTTATTGAGCAGTATACTCTTTCACATTGAATCATAACAAGTCATACTGAATGTAAATACAACTGACTCTAAAGTAAGTCCCAGTCTGTGACATTGGACATTTTGAAGACTCAAAGTCCCAAGCAGTAGGTAGAATATTAGCTATAGTCTATGTAATGTGCACAGAAAATAAACAGTTAACTGAATACAGGGATGGAAATGGCCTATAAGCACTCAGTGAAACATAAACACACACAAAAAGCTTCTGAATGATAAGAAGTATAATTAAAACATGATGCACATTACCATTTTGAGAGAGAGTAGGCTACCTTAAAGAACTCAGAAAATAATCTCTTATCGAACTGAGGCTCCAGTAAAACACACTGACTGCGCCTCTACAGTACATCATGGTGTTTACATGAGCACAGAGAGATCGGGTTATTCATGTTCCCTGTTTACATGATAAATACTAGTGTAACGTCCGAGGTGTTAAGGCTTCAATGATACTTCTGTGTAACAAAAATTCAGGAACTTAGTACTTTTTGGAGCGTCCCAGATAGCGCCTCCGTTTATTATTGTACAGTCACACCACGCTCTCCTTCACCACACCAGGACAGACTGTGCATGCTCACAACACATGACCTCTCAACCCAATGCTTACACTAGTAACCTGGCATTTCGATACCTTTTCTCATCTAAACTATTCAGTATTTGTATCTGTCTATCATGACATAAAGACGAAACTCCTCTCCAGAAGTGAGACGCTTTTGCCGCCACCGCCGCCATCACTGTTAACTGATTAACTGCTACCAGCTGATTACTTACTTTCCTCTTCTTTGACATTTTCTTATGTCCATGTTGTCTGGGGGAGAAAACATATCAAACCAAGAGATCGTCAGCTTTGATTTTCGCTGTATTAACCATTTCCTGAACATTTGGTGTGTGTGCCTTACCTCTGCTACCGGCATCGCTTCATACAACAGAGCTGTCCAACTATGGCAACACTCCTTGAACATGCGCGCGCTATGTGAGAATCTGCCTTGGTACAAAGTAGCAGTGAAAACATGTAAGGAGTTTCATTGATTTGGGCATTCTCTCAATAAGCAAGTGGAATGGATTTGATAGTGAAGCACCGACACAGCGCTCTACAAAGTGCGGCGAGTGGATAGACCGATTCACGGACTTTCCACATAGTGGGGGGGTCTAAACTAATCATTTGAAAAAGTGGGGGGGACTTGTCCCACCCTGATATAATGGCTGGGACGCCCATGCATCAGAGGCTAGGCAAGAATCCTTCCTGGCATTCGGAGAACAAAGAATGGAACAGGCTAACAAGTGTGCGTTATATGATGAGAGGCCCCGCCTTACATTTTCCGCCAAAGATTTTGGAAATTGGTCCGGGCGCAAAGCATTGTGGGTATTTTAAGACCGCGTAGGATACACATGTGCAGCCTCGAAATTTCGCGCAACAAAGGACGCCGGCCTGGGTAGAATTCCAAGCATCCTCAACATTGGAACAGTCCTTCGGCGGCACTCGATGACGTAGCATCCTTGAAATAGTGGCTCTGGAGCAGCCTTCCTCGACATTGAGAAACACCCAGCGACTCAGCAGCGATAGCTTTGTATAAATAATTTGGGGAAAATAAGACTCTAGATTCCACCGGGTCCGTCTGCGTCGTGTTACGGCTGCGCCGCGGAGTTCGCTAAGATCGCGGCCACTCTAGTCAATGGGTGCTATTCCACCAGACGCACCGTGTTACGGCTCAGAAGCGTCCCAGAAGCGTCTCGGCGCTGGGCTCCACTCAAAATAGGATTGAAGTCTATTTTTCGACGCGAGGCGTTGCAGAGGCGCTGAGCAGGAAGTGGACCGGTCAGAGCATCCGGCCCATCCCCAAAATAATCTAATTTTGCAGACCCTATCCCTCCGTAGTCTTTCAAGTAGGAGTAGAAATGCCAGCGTTCTCCTCCGGTTTACAGGCACTGTGTAAATTATATATATAGAATAATTATGATGATGAATGCATTTTTTTACCACTAAAATGCAGCAACACATCTTTGATTCATATCGTTTATAACTGGAATATTACAGTTATTATTAACTTTGTCTGCACAAAGTAGCCTGTCCAGGAAATATGCCCAAATCAACCGGCAGGCAAGACGCTCTGCTTCTGAAATGCTTCTGAAATGCTTCTGAAATGCCGGAGGAGGCCGGACCAAAACTGCGGCGCAGTCGTGACGCGACGCAGACGGACCCAGTGGAATTGAGGGGTTAAAGCGATCTTCTTTGCCACAGGTTTTCAAGAACAACACCTTTTAAAAGACATCTTTAGTGAGTTTTGATAAAATATGAGATTGATATGTGTGTTAGTGTAAAGATCGATGCTAAATTAGCCACGGCTAACCGTTGCTAGCGTGTTAGCATGTCTACCACAGCTACCCGTTGGTATTTTGCCATTGAACATGAACAATGTACACTTCTAAAAATACAAGGTAAAGCTAACGGTAGCTGGCTGTATAGAATGAAAATGGTTGTTAAAAATGTGTGCGTGTAATGACATGACAACTGATTTAGAGTTTTAAATAGTTTATTGAATTTTTATTTGTTTGAGATTTAAGAAAAACTGTATGTGGTTGCATTTAATTTATGTATAATTATATAGAGATGAATATGACTCTTGAGCAGTAGCGTGGTGTGGGAAAAAAAATGTGAGGAAGTCAATTATCTATGTCCCTTTGTAGGGGGGGGGGGGGTCAATATAATAACGTAACCAGATGAGTTATTACAGCGCGCGGTATCATTTAACTAGGGCTGTCAGTCGATTAAAATATGTAATCTCGATTAATCGCAAATTAATCGCACATTTTTTATCTGTTCTAAATAAACCTTAGAGGGATATTTTTCAAGTTTTTAATACTCTTATCAACATATGAGTGGACAAATATGCTTTATGCAAATGTTTGTTTATTATCATTGGAACAATGACAAAAACTCCAAGTAGGGAATGAGTCCTTACCCCAAGTGAAGGAGTTCAAGTATCTCGGGGTCTTGTTCTCGAGTGAGGGAACAATGGAGACTGAGATGGGCCGGAAAATCGGAGCAGCGGGAGCGGTACTGCAGTCGCTTTACCGCACCGTTGTGACGAAAAGGGAGCTGAGCCAGAAGGCAAAGCTCTATGTCTACCGGGCCATTTTCGTTCCTACCCTCACCTATGGTCATGAAGGATGGGTCATGACCGAAAGAACGAGATCGCGGATACAAGCGGCCGAGATGGGTTTTCTCCGCAGGGTGGCTGGTGTCTCCCTTAGGGATAAGGTGAGAAGTTCAGTCATCAGGGAGGGACTCGGAGTTGAGCCGCTCCTCCTTCGCGTCGAAAGGAGCCAGTTGAGGTGGTTCGGGCACCTAGTTAGGATGCCACCTGGGCGCCTCCCTAGGGAGGTGTTCCAGGCACGTCCAGCTGGGAAGAGACCAAGGGGTAGACCTAGGACTAGGTGGAGGGATTATATCTCTTCGCTGGCCAGGGAGTGCCTTGGGATCCCCCAGTCAGAGCTGGTTGATGTCGCCAGGGAAAAGAAAGTTTGGGGCTCTCTGCTGGAACTGCTACCCCCGCGACCCGACCACGGATAAGCGGGAGAAGATGGATGGATGGATGGTATCGGTCTTGAGAAGCAGGAAGTTATCGGTATCGGTATCGGTTTCAAAAAACCAATATCGTGCATCCCTAATATTTATGTTTCTTCACAAGCTGAAAGCAGAGTGTGGTTCTGGAGAGCTACAACGACTGAAGTGATGTGAGATTGGACTGACAACCATTAGCTCTAAATGAGAGGAATTATTTGATTGATCTGATTTTGAGTGGTTGATTAAATATTACATTTGTTTTAAAGTATGTAATGCATTGTGATCATTGTTACAGTCTGAAATAAGACATTGAGCCATATAATTAGATATAGCTTAAATACTCATAATTGTATATATATATATATATATATATATTGAATGCAGGATGTTTACTGGGTGATTTTCACACTGTGGTTTTAATATATTTATTTCCATAACTTTGTTGAGCTTGTGTTTAGCTCTATTTCTATCTCACTGAACATAGGCCCTGCATGTGAACTGGTTCAGCTGGTAAGACTGGTTATGAATCAAGAGGAGGAGCTGCAGACAGGTGAGGGTGTTAAAGTCCAAGTATGAAGTCCGACTGCCAGACACCATTTTACACCTGGACGGAGCAGGAGGACAACAGGGTGAGTGTTAGCACCAGGATCTGCTTTCTAACACATTATTTACTCTGTTTTACTGGATGTCAGAACATCAGCGTCCTAGAGTCCAATGAGACTTCTACAAGTGGTGTGAACTGGTTTTATTTCCTGTTTTCTGATTCATCAAAGCAACATAACATGCGACAGCCCAGCGCAGTTAAAATGTGGAGCGGCCTGTCTGAAGTCTGACTGATTTGATGTTCTTTAACCAAGTTTTTTATTGCTGGTTTAGATTTAAACAAGTGTGTTATTATAATGTGTGTGTGTGTGTGTGTGTGTGTGTGTGTGTGTGTGTGTGTGTGTGTGTGTGTGTGTGTGTGTGTGTGTGTGTGTGTGTGTGTGTGTGTGTGTGTGTGTGTGTGTCTGTGTCTGCAGTGTTACTAGTTTATCTCTCAGACTGGAGAAGATGAGTGGTTTACAAGATGAGGAAGAGGACACATCTTCAGTCCCCAGCTGTCTGTCTCTGAAGAGTGACCGGTCTAATAAGCAACCTCTAAACTTCAGTAATGAACCTGGACCCTCAGACACAAAGTAAGAGTTTCTGCTGTAACCTGACCTGAGAGGATTCCGTTTTTATGTTATCAGATAATCTAAACTGTTCTTTAATGATCGCAGTGAAGAAACTCAGTAGAGTACAGTAATAAAGTTTAAACTCATGATCCCTGGCGTCATCAGCTATACTAAAAAAATCTACATACTGCTCTTTGCTCTTCTGTTATCTGATAATCTAAAGGACACGTGTCAAACTCAAGGCCCAGGTGGATTTAATTTCGGCCCGCAGGATAATTTGTAATTACTATTAGATCTGGCCCGCCGGTAAATTGCACGCACACCTTCATTCAATCCTGAGGGTCTCCTCAGCTCAGAGCCTGAGCCCAAACATTGATGACCTTGCACCCAAGATGAGATGCCAAGTATCTGAACTAGCATCACAGAGCAGCACACTGAGTTCAATGGATGTTTCTTTCTGCACTTTGTTTCTTGTGACAACAGGGCATGTTTGGTTTTTTCTTTGAGGGAAATAGTTTTGTTGAAGCTGTTGTTGGCCTGTGGGAAAATGTACTCATAAGAAATGACTGAGGAAAAGCTGCAGATAGAGCCATAAGAAATGAATGCAACTGATTATTTAATGTTTAATGTTGTTTTTATAGGAAATAATTTAAGCTTTGTTAGTTCCAGGTTTAATATGTGCAATAAGTTCATTTCAATACGTTTGCAATAAACATTGAACCAGTCCGGCCCTCGACTAGTACCAATGTTTTAATGTTGGCCCACTGAGTATTTGAGTTTGACCCCCCTGCTCTAAACTGTTCTTTAATGATCGCAGTAAAGAAACTCAGTAGAATACAGTAACAAAGTTTAAACTCTTGATCCCTGGCGTCATCAGCGATAGTAAATAATCTACATACAGACAGAAGTCAAAATCTGCTCTCTGAATGAACTAATGATGTTTAAAACATGTTGTTTCCACAGACAGAGAGCAGAGTCTCCAGTCCCCAGCTGTTTGTCTCTGAAGAGTGACTGGTCTATGTGGGAGCCTCCATACCTCAGTAATGAACCTGGACCCTCAGACACAAAGTAAGAGTTTCTGCTGTAACCTGATGAGGATCCAGTTTTTATATAATCTAATATATCTTTAACCTGTTAAACCTGATTGCTGGTGGCAATCAAAAGTTGTGTTAATGGCATTAAAACACATATAAACGCTGCTGAAGGTTAATCCAATGTGTCTGTGTCACTTTGAAATGATTACTGATAATCCATCATCACATTTATGGCAATAAAACTGTTCTTTAATGATCGCAGTGAAGAAACTCAGTTGAGTACAGTAATACAGTTTAAACTCATGATCCCTGGCGTCATCAGCGATACTAAAAAAATCTACATACTGCTCTTCGCTCTTCTGTTATCTGATAATCTAAAGGACACATGTCAAACTCAAGGCCCGGGGGCCAAATCCGGCCCTTGGTGGATTTAATTTCGGTCCGCCCTCTCAGGACCCAGCCTACTGCAAGAGGGACCAGGTTACCAATATATACCAGGTTATACCAATAAAGGACTGGATTACCTAAAGCCAGTTGAGTAGCACTTGAAATGTTTGGCTCTATGAAACCTGATATACTTATATGATTCTGTTTTCTTCAAGGTTGTGTCTTCCTGGTCGAATGTACTTATTGTAAGTCGCTTTGGACAAAAGCGTCAGCTAAATGCAATGTAATGTAATGTTACCAGCATGCTTTTATGTTGTGACTTATTACCTGATTCCGATTAGCTGTCTGGCCTCCGGCTGAGCCACTCCAGCAGCCGGCGCTCGAACCACACCCTGCTGCCACAAGGATATTTCAATATGCATTTATAGTATCATTGTATCAGTGGCATAAAGCTGCCAGCTGGCAGCACATCACCCCCACTCTCTTCACCCTCCACTGGCTCCCGGTCAAGGCCCGCATCACCTACAAACTCCTCCTCGTCACCTACAAGTCCCTCCATGCCCTCTCCCCTTAGTCCCTCACAGATCTCCTCCACCCAAGGGTGTAATTTTGGTTTGAGAAGTGGGGGACACACAAAACAGGGGGTCCTCCGCAATCAAACATTTTCTCAATTTAATTCTATGTCCTGCCTTTCTACAAATATATATTAGGGACTATGGTGTCCTATCCATGTGAACCTGTCTTATTTGTGGGTGGACCTCACCTCGTCTAGGGGGGTCCGGGGGCATGCACCCCGGGAAGACTTGTTTCTTTAAATTGAAGTTAAAGGCATCAATCTGGTGCACTTTGAGGGCAACATGAAGAGATGTATGGATACATAACACTCATATGAAACAGAACTATATATATTTCAATACTCCAAAACATTAGAATATGCTCACAAGCAATAACACATATTTGATCAACTCCTCTCTCCTATCTTTATCTTACCTAGTCTGCATTTTTTCTTTTTATTTACAGTGGGCCAAAAATGTATTTAGTCAGCCACCAATTGTGCAAGTTCTCCCACTTAAAAGATGAGAGAGGCCTGTAATGTTCATCCTAGGTATACCTCAACTATGAGAGACAGAATGAGAAAAAAAAAAATCCAGAAAATCACATTGTCTGATTTTTAAAGAATTTATTTGCACATTATGGTGGAAAATAAGTATTTGGTCAATAACAAAAGTTCATCTCAATACTTTGTTATATACCCTTTGTTGGCAATGACACAGGTCAAACGTTTTCTGTAAGTCTTCACAAGGTTTTCACACACTGTTGCTGGTATTTTGGCCCATTCCTCCATGCAGATCTCCTCTAGAGCAGTGATGTTTTGGGGCTGTCGCTGGGCAACACGGACTTTCAACGCCCTCCAAAGATTTCTATGGGGTTGAGATCTGGAGACTGGCTAGGCCACTCCAGGACCTTGAAATGCTTCTTACGAAGCCACTCCTTCGTTTCCCGGGCGGTGTGTTTGGGATCATTGTCATGCTGAAAGACCCAGCCACGTTTCATCTTCAATGCCCTTGCTGATGGAAGGAGGTTGTCACTCAAAATCTCACGATACATGGCCCCATTCATTCTTTCCTTTACACGGATCAGTCGTCCTGGTCCCTTTGCAGAAAAACAGCCCCAAAGCATGATGTTTCCACCCCCATGTTTCACAGTAGGTATGGTGTTCTTTGGATGCAACTCAGCATTCTTTCTCCTCCAAACACGTCTAGTTGAGTTTTTACCAAAAAGTTCTATTTTGGTTTCATCTGACCATATGACATTCTCCCAATCCTCTTCTGGATCATCGAAATGCTCTCTAGCAAACTTCAGACGGGCCTGGACATGTACTGGCTTAAGCAGGGGGACACGTCTGGCACTGCAGGATTCGAGTCCCTGGCGCCGTAGTGTGTTACTGATGGTAGCCTTTGTTACTTTGGTCCCAGCTCTCTGCAGGTCATTGACTAGGTCCCCCCGTGTGGTTCTGGGATTTTTGCTCACCGTTCTTGTGATCATTTTGACCCCACGGGGTGAGATCTTGCGTGGAGCCCCAGATCAAGGGAGATTATCAGTGGTCTTGTATGTCTTCCATTTTCTAATAATTGCTCCCACAGTTGATTTCTTCACACCAAGCTGCTTACCTATTGCAGATGCAGTCTTCCCAGCCTGGTGCAGGTCTACAATTTTGTTTCTGGTGTCCTTTGACAGCTCTTTGGTCTTGGCCATAGTGGAGTTTGAAGTGTGACTGTTTGAGGTTGTGGCCAGTTGTCTTTTATACTGATAACGAGTTCAAAGAGGTGCCATTAATACAGTTAACAAGTGGAGGACAGAGGAGGCTCTTAAAGAAGAAGTTACAGGTCTGTGAGAGCCAGACATCTTGTTTGTTTGTAGGTGACCAAATACTTATTTTACGGAGGAATTTACCAATTAATTAATTAAAAATCCTACAATGTGATTTCCTGGATTCTTTCCCCCCATTCTGTCTCTCATAGTTGAAGTGTACCTAGGATGAAAATTACAGGCCTCTCTCATTTTTTAAGTGGGAGAACTTGCACAATTGGTGGCTGACTAAATACTTTTTTGCCCCACTGTATGCATATTTGACTAATCGCTCCCCTTTCAAACTGTGTTTGTTATTTTTTACTGACCTATATTGGAATGATTTCTTAACATATTCTGTACAACTAGGCCAATATTAAATAGATGGAAATATTTGTTTAGGCCACTGAGATAACTTAGACTAAAGGTTACAATCTAATCTCTCAGAGAGTCCTTTAGAGCTGACGTTACCATCTCTGCAGTCTGACAAGGGGAGAGCTCTCCTCTCCTTGTTTGTTCAAACAGCTTCTGATCTCCGTTAGCTGCGGGCCGAGCTTCGTCTCTCTCGTCCTCTCTCTCTCCTCTCTCTCTCTCTCTCTCTCTCT